TTTGTAGTTGACTTTCCAATTTCGGTCTTGATGTGATGGATAAAAGTAAGTTGTGCTGGATATATTATTAATAAAAAAATATGATGTGATAGGTAGGTTAAGAAAAAATATGAATAAAATTGGTTTTTTAATATAAAGTGAAAAATGTTTTGGAAAAGAGAAAAAAATAAAAGAGGAAGTATTTTAGGAAAAAGAGATAGTATATGTGATTTTTATTGTGAGATAATGTATTTATATTTGTTGCTCCTATTGTAGGTCTTTTTTTTTAAAATTTTCTAATTTACTCCGTATTATTCATAGAGTTAAATTGTAGTCATCAGTAGAATTAAATCGTATTCATCAGTCCAATAATTATTTTACAACTTTTGATTTTATTCGGGTTATCCCAAAATTTTCTTTCACTTTTTTTTAAGAAATAAATTGTATGATCTATATTACGGAGTATATTTCTTTCTTCTACATGAAGTCATAAATTAAAACCACACAAAGACTGCTTTGTTAAAAAAATCATTTCAAGACAAATTAGAGAAAAAATTGTAGAAAAATACACGATGTAATAACTTGAAGAACCAACAATATAATTTAGGCTCCGTTTGGCTTTAGCTATATAGATTAGCGTTTACGTTGTGAAAAGGGTTATCTGACGGTAGCCTTTAGTGTTAACGTTTTCAGAGTTAAACCTACACCGTTATAATTTTATCCAAAAAGCTAACGCTAATTGAAAATGCCTTAATCTAGTCTTACAAAATGTCCTCTCACACATCACAATTGATTATTAAAGCTAACAAACGGTTGAAGTTGGGCACCATAAAGCTTGCTCTTATCTTTAGATAATTTTATATATTCCAAGAATTCTATAGTTATATAATTACACTTTCTTATCCAAAGAGACCCTCAATTAATTATATTGCTCTGAGTTTTTGTGCGTGCTTGTAAACTAATTAAAGACATTGTTATACTCCCTTACTTCGTCATGATTATTACAGTTTGACTTTTTTGTTAAGTTATGACACTCTTTGACTCTTAATCATGAAAAAATTATATTTAGTTATAATGTAAATATCAAATTTTTATAATATTTATTTATTTTAAATTATATTTAATTCGTTGTAAAAAAATGTCACGATTTGAACAAAAAACTCAAAATGTAACAATCTTTTAAAAACAGAGAGTATTTTTTTTATTCATTATCTATTCTTTTCTGATAAGGAAACATCAATTCTAAGGAAGTACTCCCTCCTCCCTCCCTACGATATATAAAAAGTCAAATTATACGAAATCATTTGAGAATTTATGGATTTAAGTATTAAAAAATAAATTTTTGAATAGAATTTAAAATTTATGATCTTTTTAAAGGGTAACGTTTAAAATTTATGAAATTAAGTATTAAAAAGTACTCCCTCCTTCTCAATGTATTTGTCCAGTTTGACTTTTTCGAGTCAAACTGGACAAACTTTGAGCTTCAATTAAATAAAAACCGTAATGTATTTTAACATAAAAATAACTTTATTGGATTTATCGTATTGAGAACTTTCAAAATTGTACTACCTCCGTCCCACTCTTTTTGTCCAGTTTTGACTTTTGGAACTGTTCATCTAAGCACTTTGACTCATCAAATTCTCTCAATGTGTTAGTCTAAAAATAGTCATGTGTGATCTTGTTTGATTTGTCTTAACATATAGATTATTAATATATAATTTTTATAATTTTTTAATATACAAATTACAAAATAAAATGGATTAAAGAAGTGCATTGGATGGTGTGCAAAAATGAAAGTGGACAAAAAGAGTGGGACGGAGGGAGTATTTCATTATGCTAATATACAATATAAATTGAGAGTAATTGGAGTTGTTTATCCGGTGACTCAAAAAAGTCAAACTAGACAAATACACTGGGACGGAGGTAGTAAAATTTGTGATAAAACTTTTGTTTCTCCATTTTTGAAAAGGTTGACAATCTTTCATCCTTAAACATTCAAAACTAATTTTTTTAAAATAGAAAGAGTGATGTTAGACAATAATAAGAAATAATCTTTACTTTGGTAAATTTTATATTTTACTCTGCTTCTTTTCTTGATGGGAGAAAGACCAAGGTGGGACTAAAACATTAAAAATATACCAAAATAGGAATTCCATGTTTTTATTCCCGAAAAAAAATTTACATTACCAAACATGGTCATGTACATTACCAATAAAGTATAGTAATGTGCACATTTACAGTGCCACATTACCACAATGCAAAGTCCTATTTCGAAAAAAAATATGAAAGTTTTATTTTGGTACTTTTCTCTATGTTTTAGTCCTATTTAGGGTGATTTCTATTTCTTGATTTCTATTTGTTTTTGGAATCTCTTCTATATTTACTCTCTTATATATAGTATATACTTCATTATTCTTGCATAATACTCTCTCCGTCCCAAAAGGTCCACCATAATTTGTTTTTTGGTTAAGTGTGTGACACTTTGACTATAAATGGTGAAAAAAGTATATTAAATTATAATTTAAATTTAGTAAAATTGAATTTATTTTAAAATATCAAAATTTTTATTGCATTTAATTATTTAAAAGTATATATTTAAGTTGTGGTCAAAGTCTTGCACAGTTTGACCAAAAAAGTTAAAATGTGACGCCGTCATTGATCTCGCTCCCTCTCTTTTTCCGATCCCTACGGTGTCACCGCCGTTCTTCGGCTCAAGCACGGCGACAAACGGATGAGATCCGTTCGACTCTCTCCGTGCAATAATCACGTGCAATTTTTTTTCGTGCAAGATTCGATCAAAAACAAATATCACATTTATTTCACCTAAAAGATAGTATGTTGATTAATTATTTTTTTTTAATTTGTTGCAGGCAGTGGTGGAGAGCCTAGGGAAGTACAATGTGATGGTAATAGTGGACAATCACCTAAGCAAGCCTGGTTGGTGCTGCAGCAATGGCTTCTTTGGTGACATTTACTTTGACCCTAAAGTATGGGTCACTGGCCTCACCAACGTGGCCACCCTCTTCAATGCCACCCCCAATGTGGTTGGGATGAGCCTAAGGAATGAACTTAGAGGGCCCAGACAGAATGTCAATGATTGGTTCAAGTGCGTTTGACTTTTACGTTAGCTTTGACCGCAAATTAAATACTCCATCTGTCGCGTTTTAAATCGTCTGTTTTGACTTTTGGAAATATTTAAGGAAAATAAAAATAGAGTTGATTTTTCGAAATTGTCATTACTTTTTAGAAGGGTGACGATGAATGAGAAGAAAAGGTAGAGAAGAGTGACTTATTTTAGGGGTAGTTTAGGTATTTTACTCATAAAAGTTTACGATAACAAGTAAATGACAACTTATTTTGAGACAGAGAAAAAAGGCAAACAGGCAATTTAAAATGAGACAGAGGGAGTATAATTTAAATGAATGACGTTAATAGACATTTGATGAGTCAAAGCTGAGTCTTGAAACGAACCCAGGTACATGCAGCAGGGAGCCGAAGCGGTGCACGCGGCGAACCCTGACGTTCTGGTCATCCTCTCCGGCCTAAACTTCGACAAGGATCTCTCCTTCCTCAAGCAACGTCCCGTGAAGCTGACCTTCTCCGGGAAGCTGGTTTTCGAGGTGCACAGGTACAGTTTCACGGACGGGGCGGAATGGGCGTCGGGCAACCCGAACCGAGCGTGCGGGCGGATAACCAATGATGTGATGGGGAGGGGAGGGTTTGTGTTGGATGAAGGGTACCCGTTGTTTGTGAGCGAGTTTGGAATCGACCAGAGGGGCGGGAATGTGAACGACAACCGATTCTTCAACTGCTTCTTGGGCCTTACCGCGGAGCTGGACGTTGATTGGGCGGTTTGGACGCTCGCCGGGAGTTATTACCTCAGGGAGGGGACGGTGGGACTTGAAGAGTTCTATGGGGTTCTTTCATGGAATTGGTGTCAACCAAGGAACTTGAGCTTCCTCCAAAGGATCTCATCCATTCAATCACCCTTTCAAGGTACTCCTATGTCTCATATTTTTGTTCAATTCATTTTCACTATTTTTTTCGTCTGTCCCACTATTTTTGCCTGCGTACTTCATCCATCCCATAAAGCTTTTTAAACACGAAAAAAGACACTCTAAAAATGGGTAATTTTGATTTTATTTTTTAATTATAACTCATTTATCTGCACATCACATCCTATCTTATTATAAAGTAAGAACAAAATTATAAAATAATATCAAAATTATACGGAGTACCTTTTTAGGGCACCCTTTTTTTCATTTTTGAAAAGTTTTATGGGACAGAGGAAGTACTATATTTGATCAAATTTGTAGGACCGGGTTTTGAAGAGTTGTGTCCGCATAAGCTAATCTTCCATCCAATGACGGGGCTATGCGTACGAAGATCATCATCGCCCCTGCAGACACTAGAGTTAGGTCCATGCTCTGAGGCAGACGCATGGACCTACCCTCCATCCAAAACAATAACACTTCAAGACGAAACCCAATCTTGTCTTGAGGCTGATAATGAAAGCCCCGGAACCCCAGTGAAGCTCGGGACGACCTGCAATGGCAATAACTCGAAATGGGTACTCGTCTCAGACTCGAAAATGCATCTTTCGACTAAACTTCAAGACGGGAGCAGCGTTTGCCTAGACATTGATGGTTCTGACGACAACAACGTTGTCCTCGTCACCAACACATGCAAATGTTTGAGTAATAGTGATGGTCCTAACTGTGACCCTGCAAGCCAGTGGTTCAAGATGATCAATAGCACTAGAGAGAGAATAAATACTACAAGTACCAAAGATCATGATGATGTGCTGCTTCACTACAAAGCCTCCTCACTTTTGTATTTTCTTGCAAAAAGATTGTTTGGAAACTACATGTGGTGGTAATAGTAATACATACTAAAAATACAGTAAAAGGGTTAATATGGGAAGTGCAAGAGAGCTGCAAGATACTCCCTCCATCAAACATAAGTGTTCCACTTTTACAATTGTAATCATACACATAAAGAGTTTTAATCCATGTCTATGTTATTTCAATTGGATTTTTTTTTGGATTTTATGATTAAAATTTAATAATGATAAACTGCAATATTAGTCCCATACGTGGACACCCTTAGCTTGGCAAACCTGGTTCTGTTTCAAGGAGTATATATCATCCTTGGCAATTTTGGTCCTCCGAATCCGGAGAATGCTTCTTTAGATGTAACAAAACAGCCTTAGTCTGTGAGTTCACTGTCCCAATAGTTCCTCAATTGGGACATGTGCAAAAGAAGTTCATCCCTTCCCAACCCGGAGACACTGCTGGTCATTATCCATGGTGGGATCTGTCTGTAGTTTTGTTTTAGCAACTCTTGAAACTCTCTGATGTTCTCATGGGGCAGTCTTGCTTTTCCTCCCTTAATCTTGTCACACTTGGTGAAGACAAAAGTCATTGGTATCTGAAAATGAGTCACAAAGACATTCTTGGTCACTTTGGTGCAAACGTAAGGCCTTCTTTTTGCATCTTTGCCTCGTTTATGTCATGTTCTAAACGCAACTCACATTTCTCTCATCTTGAGTAGGTAAATATAATATAAGAAAAGATCTAAGAGAGAGAGTTTCATAGAGATAGAGAGAGAGAGAGAGAGAGAGAAAGTAACATACATTATTACGGCCAAGCCAATTAGCACAGTCAAGGTCAATCTTCTGAGGAGGTACACTTGCATCGACCAAAAGCAGAACTGAAACCAAAGTTTCTCGGTTTAAGAAGTAGCCTTTGGTGAAAGAGGACCAATCCATTTTAGCAGATTCGGATGCATTTGCAAAACTGTACAAATAAGGTTACATGAGATACTGAATATCGACTACCATCTCAACCAGAAAGAGCATATGTACAAGCATACAGCAATTATGGTCATAGCTGATTAGCTGAAAAACATGGCTATAGAGAGATGAAACACATGATTCCACTGTTAATTTTATCAAACCAGATATGACAACTAATGCTGTACATGAGGGAAATACAAAAAAAGCATACCCGTAGCCCGGCAAATCCACGATATACCAACTTTTGTTCACTAAGAAGTGATTAATCAGCTGAGTCTTCCCTACACAATACACATGGCATAATCAAATACGAAGTATGCCATAACACAAAAGTTAAAAACTGGTTTGTTAATTTTGCCAACTTATCATCAAAACCGGGAGAGGGAGACAGAGAGAAAGAGAGCACCTGGCTTCTTAGAGGTAAGTGCAACCTCTTTCTTTCGAACCAAAGCATTAATGAGAGATGATTTGCCGACATTTGACCGGCCCAACATGGCAAACTCGGGCCGGTTTTCCTTAGGACAGTCCTTCACCCGGTTGCTGCTCTTTACAAACTCCACATTGTTGATCTTGGAGTCTCCAGCATATGGTCCAATGACAATATTAGATCTGGGTACGATCATTTCGTCAGTAATATCTTCTATGTTAACCCCGGGTGGAACAAATATGGCATTTGGGGAAAAACTGACAGTTTCAGGTTGTGGTGAAGCTTTAGAGGTCTTGAATGTGGCAACATGGCGAGATAAAGGGGTTATAAATGAGACAGAATATGGACGAGCTTTGGGAGGGAATCGGGAGTTGAAGAGTGAGCTGTGTTGTGGAATATTAAAGAGGCAAGGCCTCAACTTCAATAACATCATCTTCCTCCTTGTAAAGTAGAACGGCTTCCTAATATGGTTCTCTATGCCTAAAAAATTGCATGATCCCTTTCAGATTTTAGATAGTAACATTTCTTATATGTGCAACTGCAATCCACGTGTCGAGCAATAAATAAACAAGTGATCTATTAATAAATTCAATCTTATACTGTAAGGTAAATCGATAACAACTAATACTTTGACATTGTTCATACAAATATATCTTACAACTATATGAGTTTACGTTTCATATTTTTGAAGTGGTTTTATTATAAAATCATCACAAAAACATCTCCCTCTACATATGTCACTAAACAATCATTGAAGCGCTCAAAAAAAAGATTTTATTTTGCATGTCATTCTTCACAAACTTCATAGCTAGGAATGTGTTTTCAACACTAGTTGTCAATGCTCATAGAAGCAAAGCTAACTTTATAAGAGCAAACATATAAAGGTGAACATTCGGGTGAAAACTAAAATTTTCTTAGTCTCGGTTTCTAGGGACTCAAAATCACTATTTTCTTTACACCCTTTTTCATTCAATAGGGTTTCAAATACACCAACCGGTTGCTCTACTTGTTGATGTAAAGATGGAGAAGTAGTTGAATTCAAATTAAAATGATTCCTAGTAGGTTCAATTTCTTTGACTTTTGAATGTGTTTTAAAGTATATACTTGCTTCCTAAATTACAAATGAATCAACTTTAACAAATTTAAAACTTCTATTTGATTAAAAACTTTGATTGATAAACTAACAACTTAACTAGCTAGTAGGCTGGTGTGGCCAAAGTTGCTTGCAAATAGTTCTAAATAGGGGTAAGGTCTGTCTCTACTTGTGTGGGATTATATTGGGTGGATTTGTTTTTGTAGTGTGATTCATAAACTATAACAATATAATACTCGGCTAAAATCTATCATTGGTCCTTCAACTTTGTAAGTTGTGCACGATTGGTCCTTCATGTTTCAAAAGTTCATAAATAGTTCTTCTAGTATTCAACAACCTCTAAATCGAGTCCTTCAAGTTTCAAAACTTCATTAGTCCTTCAAGTATTCATCAACCTTAAAAGCTAAACGGAGTACTAGCTCCATATATATAACTTCCGACCTGCAATGGGTGCCAGATGCAACTAGCTCCATATATATAACTTTGCTTCAGCCTGCAATGGGTGCCTGCCACTGGCCTCGTCCTCCGAACAGCTCAGCGCAGTGGGTCTTTCCCTCCCATTGTAAATGTTGGGGATAATTTTACTTTCTAAGGGGTTTAATTTGTATAGTAAAGAACACAAAACTTTGATTGGAATTGTGGAAACCCATTAATTCCCTATATGTAAAAAAACAATCACCTACGTAATAGGTACAAGTACTTCGTATTTTATATTTATATATATATATATATATATATATATATATGTATGTATGTATGTATGTATGTATGTATGTATGTATGTATGTATATATATGTATGTATGTATGTATGTATGTATGTATGTATGTATGTATATATATATATATATATATGGAAGTAGTAATCCGTTTATCTTTTAACGTGTACCGTAAAAAAGGACTGCATTTGGAAGGTTGATGAATAATTGAAGGACTACTTATGGACTTTTGAAACTTGAAGGAATGCATGTGGAGGATTATGAATACTTGAAGAACTATTTATGGACTTTTGAAACTTGAAAGACCAATCGTGCACAACTCATAAAGTTGAAAGACCATTAGGTGGATTTTAGCCTATAATACTCCCATTAAAATAAATATACACTTCAAGTACATAACAAAATCTTCCCATTGAAAAATAATTTAACAACCATTTACCAAATCACAAAGTACACAATGAAAATCAACTACCAGAATTCGAAAATCAAAAGAATTTATGAACTATGAAGTCCCAAAATAAAAACTTACATTGATGAAAGAAGACGAAGGGGTGCCCAGCGTAGTGGCGGAAAGGAGGACCCGAGTGAGAGCGGCGGAGCGGCTGTGGCTGAGGGCCCTCAGCGGCGAATGGAGGACGCCTTTCAGATTATCTTAGGTGCTTCGGTCAGAAGGATTAAAAAGAGAAACAGAGGAAGAAGATTTCCTAAAATCAAACTCCAATTCTCAATCCTAATCCAAATTGAAGACTAAAGCTGGGATTTCTCGTCAACAAAAGAAGCAAAATCGATCAGAAACATTGATGATACAGAGCACGACAGAGCAGAGAGTAGAGAAGCCGGCCTAGGGTTCCGACCCTAGGTCCGCCTATGAATTGATTCCGACGTCCATGTACTCAGGTGGTGGGACTCTGATTTGGCGATGGATCCGGTGACCCTTGGCTTTGGTTTCGGCAGCAACACAACAGATGAAATCTATGGAGCATGTTGTTCTACTCCCTCCGTTACAGTTCTTGTTTTGACTACAAAATAAGGAAAAAATATAATTTTAGTTGACTTTCCAATTTTGCCTATGATGTGATGAGTAAAAGTAAGATGTGATAGTTTAGTTATTAGTGAAAAAGTATGGTGTGATAAGTAGGGTATGAAAAAGTAAGGATAAAAGTGATTTTTTAATAGAAAAAGGAAGTGTTTTAAGAAAAACAAAAAAAATGAAAGAGTAAGGGTTTTAAGCAACGGAAGAAGGACCTTTTTAGTTTATTTCATTCTTTTTTAATTAGGGATTCAAGTTTCTTAATTCCTCAAATTGATAAATTTGATTTCTAATATTGAATATATTTATTTTCAATTCCATATTTGTTAAATGTTTAAGTTATAATATAAGGGTTGAATGGTTTTATGTTTATATTGTTCAAGTTATGATTCATTGATTTGTTATTGTCTCTGAAATTATAAAATCTTCTTACGCCAAATTGTTTGACGAAATGATTGAATCTTTGATTTGGTTATTTTTGTTTATTTAATTTGACTTTGAAGAGATTTTAGCTTTATGCTACTGTTAAATTTAAACTCGAAAAGGTGTTCCGAAAACTGTTCTTTGTTTATGCTTGAATTGGACTTAGGCCCCGTTCCGTTCAACTTATTTTTTCTTATTTTTTCTTATTCTTATTAAAATCAGATCAGATCAGATCAGATCAGACCAGATCAGATCAGATCGAATCAGATCAGATCAGATCAGATCAGATCCAATCAGATCAGATCAGATCTAATCAGATCAGATCAGATTTAATCAGATCAGATCAGATCCAATCAGATCAGATCAGATCAGGACTTATTAAAATCAGATCCCATCAAGAATTATTATTATTATTATTATTATTATTATTATTATTATTATTATTATTATTATTATTATTATTATTATTATTACTATTATTATTATTATTATTATTATCATCATCATCATCATCATCATTATTATCATCATCATCATCATTATTATTACATTGTCAATTTAATTCTACTTTTAAAATATATTTTTATTGCTACTTGTAATTTGACTTTCTAAACTTTTGATCTTTTGTAAGGATGAGATATTTTAATAAAAATACTATCTCTTCTATATATTGATTATCTAAATTTAATTATTTTTTAATGTATATCTAACTTAAATATTTATTCTAATGTATAATTCTAATTTTACAAAAAAATAATCATAAAATAAAAAAATTATTACATTATAATATGAATGATTATTCTAATATATGAATTGACTATTTTTATTTTATTAAAAAATAATCATTAAATAAAAAATGTTGATTATATTATTATATGAATTATCATTACGATTTTCAAATTTATTACAAAGTCAAAATAAATTATTGATTTAAAATTTTAAATTAAATCAAAATTAATCGGATCAGATCAGATCCAATCAGATCAGATCAGATCAGATCCAATCAGATCAGATCAGATCCAATCAGATAAGATCAGATCCAATCAGATTAGAGCAGATTCAATCAGATCAGATCAGATCCAATCATATCAGATCAGATCAGATCCAATCAGATCAGATCAGATCAGATTAGATCAGACCAGATCATATCAGAACTTATTAGAATCAGATCAGATCAGAAAAAATAAGTTGAACGGAACGGAGCCTTAGTTAGGAGCGCGCGTCTAATCCAATTTAAAATTACATTCTTATAAAGTCCAAAGTGCTTTAAATAGTCACTTTTCTAGAAATCAAGTGTCACTTGATTAGTACTTGGCTGCCTCGTTAAGTGGTTTTGCTAATCAAGATTCTCGAACTGATTTTGTTTAATAACTGTAGTGTTACTGCAAAATTGTTATGGTGATGTTTTCCACAAATCTTAATACGCTATGTTTAGTAGTAATTTAAAGGTTGGTCTTTGGATTGTTAAGAATAGTATGGTTAAGAGTTAGAATTGGTCTTAACATGAGCTAATATGAATGAGAAAATAAAGAAGTATCGTTGGTGGAGCTTTTCTTCAGACTAACCTTGAGTTAAATTAGCAGTTTAATTTCAGAATCAAGAAAAAATTAGTTAGTTAATCATATTTGTTCAATTTTTTTTCTTTTACAAACTACAAGTATTTGTATGTTGTTTTCTCCATGGGTGTTCTTTCAGAGTTCCAAGCTTGCTGTTGTGGTTCTATTTCTTATCTATTATCTTTATTTTATTTACATTTTTATCATTTTAATTTGTATTTCAAACCCCCCATATCTCTTGTACAAAGAATCAACTCTCTTTATATATAAAAGATGGTAAAGCAAATAAGTAATGTTCTATTCCTATCATAATTTTATTCCTACTATAACAAAAATAGGAAAAGCTATGAAAACTATCAAACCCTAAAACATATTCTAATACTCTCCCTCAAGTTGAGAATGGGGATCATGAATGAACAACTTGAATAATAAAATGAAATATTTGCACTAAATAGCACTAAAACTTAAGTCATTTCCCTAAATAGCACTTAAATTGTTTTATTCCCTAAATAGCACTTAATAATGTCCATAATGTCCTGTGATGGCGAATATTTACTTGAATAATGACTAATGCATAATGACTAAAAGTGCTACATTGGGAAGAAAAACACATTTGATGCTATTTAGGGAAAGTCATTATGTTTTAGTGCTATTTAAGTAAATTTATAATAAAATTAGGACTAGAAAAAAATAACTCGATAAATAACTTAGACAAAACTCTGATTTGTTATGCCAACGATAGATGAAGGCGACTGGCCGAGCAAACAACAACCAAAATTTGGTGACGAATGACTCCCCCATGAGACGGCTAACAAATAGATAGAATGTTGTCGTACTGAGGTTTGACGACCAATCCCCACAAACTGACATGCCGTACATACGACATGTTGCGACTGAACATACCAAACAAGTCAAACAACCAAACATTGTCATCAAAACATCGATCAAAACTGGCTGGACAAAATGTTGAACATGAAAATCCTCCCCCGTTGAGTACGACAACAACATTACCCTATTGCCTCAACGGCTCCCGCCCATTGCGGGGTAAGGGAGTCGAATGTACGCAGTCTGACCCCTATGTTTAAAACATAGGGCGGCTGTTTCCATATGACCCATGATGAGAGTCGAAAGTTGCATTGACTAACTACTACTTCACAATTGTGAGAAACGAAGACAGTATAAAGAGTCAATTTGCTTTATTCCACGCAAGGATCACATCTACTGTAGCCATACCCTCGCTAATCATACGACTGACCAACCTTCGCGAGATTTTCGTTGCAGAGTATATATTGCATGTCCCCCATCTTGTCCCTTAATCATTCGCTACATGCCCTTATCAGCCACGCACGATCTTCCACCCAGCCCCTGTGTCCGGTGCAAGGTCAATCTTCACTAAGGCCGTAACTAGTGGTTCAAATGCCAACAAACACACTTGTCAAGACTCAATTTTTTAAGTCAACCTAATCTATTCTAAGTTTTTGAGTGTCACAAGGGATAAATTTGATTTCGACCCCACTCTCTATCAATTTTAATATCAAAACTGTATTATCGGTCTAGTCTTATTGAGTATTTTGTGCTTATAAGTTGATCAAATTTTTTTATAAACTATCTTTGTGCTAATTAATTTTTTTTATAATTTATCTCTGTTTTGATCAGATTATTCACAAAATTATCCCATACCTTTTATGAATATCATCAAACAATGACTTACCTCCATTTAAGTCATTTCAAAAACACTTAAATAAGTAATTAAAATTTATTTATCAACGATAAATCAATAAATACCCGTACAAACAAGTACTTCATTGACAACACTAAGAACATGTTCTTTTCAACTTATTCTTATTGTAATCAATTTGGTCCAAATCAGACCAAACCAGTTCAACAACATCTTTAAATATAACTACATTCATATCAGATCATACCGGATCAGATCAGAATCATTCAAATCAAGTGAGAAGAACGAGTCGTAAATCAAACATCGCTAAAACCGAGAGGTGCCCTCTTATGGACCTAATAATGGGAAGAAAAAGCTCACATGGACAGCTCAACCGGTCTCAAAAATAGAATTTGGAACAAGAGATCAAAGATTGAGCCTCATCAGCGATAGTGTGGGAGCAACCTCTCAGAAAAGAAGAGGGCTCCTTGTGTGCAATGAGCACTGATCTCAGCTTCTGTTATTAGTTGAATCACCGTGATTTAGTTCATCTCAAAATTTCGTTGGGCAGAGGGTAAAGAGCGTTCGAGAGGAGCGATTTCACCTTTTGAAACAATAATGGGAAGAAAAAAAAAGGATGGACCAAGTGTGAAGTTTCCCGGTCACTTCTCAACCACACCCACGGGACAATATCTCTCCCCGGACCGGCGGATCCCCCACCCCCGCGCATGTTAGCTGTCTTAGCCATCATTATTCCTTCGCTCCGCTCCAATCGCAAAACCCCATGCATTTAAATCCATTTACTGCACCCCCCTTCTCTCTCCCCGATGAGTCTCCATTGGATTTAATGGAGAAAATCTCTGCAACCTCTGCTCTGATTCCCTTTACTCTCATTTCTCTCTATGTATCTATAATAGTCTATACATACACACCCACACTGTATCTACATTTCCTTTAGCTTAGATTAGTTATACTGTACTGTTCGTAGTTACTACAGTACCGAGTACACTGTTTTCTTTTCGTTTCTCTTCTCTTTTTGCTTAATTGCGCTTTGGGGCGCGCAATAAATGCTTTCGCGATTCCAGTCTCGATCACGTGTCACATCTAGACGGTTAGGGACGCATCGCTGTCTTAATTGATTTATCATCCGATCTTGTTGCGCCGGAGGAAATCGAATCGGCGGCGTTGAGGGTTTTTTCTGCTGCTGTGGCGGAGATCGGCGATCTGGGGAGGTTAATTTGCTGGGCTGAGCTGATCCCGCGGGTTTTGCTTGCTGTTTCTGTGATTTGTGGGGTTGGGTTGTGGTTTGGTTCGCGGTTGAGTAGATGAATCCGCTGTG